TACTTTGTGATAGTGAAAGTTAGCTAACTGACCAAAATTTGGTCGTGCTTTAATTATTGAGTTATTTTTAGAAAATCAGTGATTAAAATTTTCAAAGTTCAGGTTTTAAAACCACAACATAGAACCATTTGTCGCTACATCAAATTACTTCTGCACCAGCAAAAGTGATCATTACTATCATCATCACAATTTCAGAGAAATAAAAATTACAAGCTAATGTGACATTGGTAAGGCAGCCCTAAACCTACCACACTCTGCAACCTTGGTGAGTCTTACACTGGAAACAGCTTTTCCTGTTATAGTGAGTTAACAGGATCTGGGATTGCAAACTCCTGAAGGACTCAGGAAGTGCTGGACATGTTGCTGAGAGTGCCTGATGAAGGAGAGTCCCAACACTAATCCCCAGTGCCCATGACACCAGAAATACCAGAAATTGCTACTGCCTGCCAGAAATCTTACAAATGATCTTCCCGTAAGTGACTCCCATTTTGAAACGTGAAACCCTGTAGCGATGTTCAAATGTAGAGTCCCTCAGATCACTCGGCACAGCTTAGAACATGTTCATATCCTAGCAGATGCATTTGAGCTAACAATGAAATAACTCCTATTGCCAAGTTACTCTACATTTTTAATATTTTCACTGAATATTTCGTCTTAGCCCTTCCCATTAACAGGACTTCCCATTAAATGATATAACCCGGGGTTCTGTTGATGTTCTACTGAGAAAACTGTATGGAAGTGATATATGCAGACCTGGGCTTTTTCACAGTTCCCAGGACACTGCAGGGTCACAGAAACACTAATTCCCAGAACCACATACCCCATTCTAAGCTGAAGACGTAAAAAAATTCTAGCAGGTTAATTTAAAAAAAACCCATGAAAATTAATGGGATAAGAAACACACTTGCAACTACTAGCTGTGCCAGCACAGAAGACTGCATGTGCTGCACCCATAACAAGACACAGCAATCAGGACAATGTTGATTAGGGTTAAAACAAGATACATATGAGATGCAATGAACCAGGTGCAGCACATCGGCCAGGTTTTCACCTCTATGGCTCAGACTGGAAGTTTATTTCCTTTAATGAAGATTAACCATGAAAAGACACAGATGTGAGTTATAGTTCTTCTCACATATGTACAAAGAACACTCCTTAGAAGGATGGTATGGGTTCCCCTGTTTAAATTGGTCACTGCAACTTTGGAAATGTCGGGACACTATCAAAACACAGAAAATTAAACACTTCCAAATACTAATAAAACAGGGTAATTTTATCCTTATCAAAGACTACCCAAGATAATATAATTACAGCATCTACATATTCCTATCTACAATTCTATGTTAACCTGTCTCTCTACTGATTGCACTAAATCACAGTTGTAAGCAAGCTCCAAGTTAACATTTCTCTAATAGCATCCACTCCATTAAATGCAGTCCTGACCTAACAGACACCCTCAGAATAGTTTATATTCAATTTTTTAAATTTCACAATCTAAGTCATTAATATTTTATTGCTTCAGTAATTTTCCTTGGTGCTTTTATTACAGTGGTAACAAATAAAAAAAGAATTAGTAAACATGGGAACCAAAACCCTTGAAGTCTAATGAAACTTTGTCTTACTGTATCAAAGATATCTGCTTCATTATAACAGTACTTCTATAAAACCTGATTAAAACGGGATACATTTTAAACTAAAAATTAAGTAAAAATTTGAAGTGAGGAGAGATGGCATCAGATACAGCAGATTAGATGTGCAGCTAAAAAGGAAATAACATATATGAATAGATTTGAGTATAAACCTTATTTATAATGCCTATTTACCTCCCTAGGTCCTATTATACTTTGACACTGTGCAAAACTAGCAGATGCTCCAAGTACTGCTGTTAATTTTTTTAATCTGGATGTGTCTCTTAGTCATGAATAATAAAGGAATTCTTTGCCTTTTAAAAGCTTTGAATTGTTTAGAATCATTGTCTGGGGAATGTAAGAAGAACTGGATGGGAATGAAAGAAGAACTGCATGGGAATTAGTGACTTTATACTAACCTTCCTTGGTTATGTAATTTAAATTTAATACAAAGGGCATCTATATAATTGTTGTTACCATTCTAAAACTCACAGTTGCCATAAGAAAGGTTGCCCAGAAAAGTTGTGGCTGCCCCACCCCTGGAAGTGTCCAAGGCTGGATGGGGCTTTGAGCATTCTGGTCTGGTTGAAGGTGTCCTTCCTCATGGCAGGGGGGCTGGAACGAGGTGATCTTTAAAGTCCTTTCCAGCCCAAACCATTGTATGAATAATCAGACAGCACTATGGCAATGCACAAAACTACCTTTCTACCCTTAAAAAAAAAAAAAGGTAGAAATATAGAATTCAATTTGACCCTCTGAAACCTCGTAATTTATCCAAAACTATCAAAGAAATACTTTCAAGTTTCACACACATTCAAAAAAAGTGTGACTTTTTCCAGTGTGATATCAGCTGTCACTGATGAGGTCATTCAAACAGACCTCATACCTCTAGAGACCACACACCATGGTCATTTGTCATTCTTATCCATGAGTTCTTCATCAGTTTGCATTTTCCACCACTGTACAGCTGTAACTTCTGAGAGTGGGACCAACATTTCCTGCAGCTTTGTAAATATTACATGTTTTCTCATGCAGGCTACAAGATGATTTAATGCAGAAGCAGTCAATCAAGCAGGCAGGCATCTTAGCAGGGCAATGCAGCCAGCCTACACATGGGATTATCTCTCCTGGGCATTCCTGCAGCTGCCCTGGATGCTGGACACACAGCCTCATTCCATGTGCTATCTTTGGTGGATGAGGTGAGGCAGGACAAACTGCACTGCTGAGTAGCATTGAAATAAATGCACCACAGGGAGGAATCAACAATAAGATAAATGCATTCCCAGAATCATCACCCTGCCCATAAACTGCAGGAGTCACGGCACAAAACTCTCCTCCAAGGCTGAAAGCAGATTGATCTGAACTGAATACCAGTTTTTCTTTGCTAAATCCTAACACATGAACTGTATTCTTTCATCCATTAATTAAAAAGTCTAAGTCAAATTTGCCTAACCTGCTTTTTCTCCTTTTACGTAGTGAAACATATATTCAGCTCTGTTCTGTTCCAAAGCTCTTCTCACAGAACATGGCAAATCCATATTACAAAGCAACTTATGCTTCTTAAATAAAAAATAAAGCCCAGAAACAAAACAAAAACAGATACCAGAAGAATGCCAGAAAATTGATGGAAACCCTTGAAAGGTGATAAAAGAAATTATGGCATTTAAATATTAAGAGAAAACCCTCAAACCAATGTGGGCAAACTTAGCAAAATGATTAATAAGGAGTCCAAGAGCCTTGACACCAAGCAGGAGTTTATCCACACCTCTGACACTCTCCTGTGCCAGCTGAGAGACTGACAGGTGGCTGACAGATGCTACCCTGCTACCTCGTTAATACTGTGACTTTTTCCTCATTTTATCCAAGATCTGCAAGAAGCACAACAAACTCCTTCTTATCTCGACAGAAAGGGGCAATGCAGCTTCTACAGTGCATTCATCATCTTCCTCTGCATGGGGGTGAGAAAAAAACCCTCTGCACTGCCTAAATTTGGGATCAGCAAATTGGTTCAGTGACCACATGCTGCATTTGCTGGTGACCTGGCATCATCTAAATACAGATGGCCTATAAAACCAAAAGTTGGATGTTCAATTCTGTCTTACTCTCTCTGCAGAATTCATCCTTTCTCATAGCAAATCTATTAAAAATAAAGAGGGCTTGGACTTCACCAAGATAATAATATGGAGCAAATACCAGAATGTTACCAAGGCTTCATGTGGGATACAAGACTCCTGAATAACAATCAGGTGCTTTTTTCCTGAGCTAGGTCTGAAAAACTGATTTAAGTGAAATTTGCCGTAAGAACAGCTGGCTTTAAAAGAACTTAAAAGATGCATGTATGGGCTGTGTTCTGCTTTAAACACTAATCCCTTCTGAATAAATGACCAAAATATTTTTGCTGTTTAGGAAAATGCAGTATGCTTATTTTCCTTGCTGTTCAATTTTGTATAGAACACAATTATTGAGCTGAACATTTAGTCCTGTCTGTCTAATTCATTAAAGAGTGCCTCAGTTATTAATAGTATGTACTCAATCTCATGAGATTTAAAAAAATATCAGTATAGCTAACAGATAGTGATCTTCTTCTTTCTAGTATTTCCTCTAAAGAAGAGTAGAAATAGTTACAGTAACACATCTGGAACCAGACACATGTTCATGTTTCTAGACTGGGCTACAAAGATTAAGAAATGTCATTTGACACACTGGTTAATAATGGAGTAAGCAGATTGGTCAGCAAACATCAGTTAACATTTATGTACTTGTACATTTAAAACAAATTAGATCTTTGCAGCTTCCAGATAGGTTTCTAAATAAGCAAGTATCTACAGAAGGGGTGTTGTATTAGATAATTCCCTTTTCCTGTGACCATCCTTCTGCTATTCATGTGACAATTTTAGATCACCAGGCACCAACCTGGAGCAAACCAAGTCATTCCCCATAAAAAATGGAAAAGCACAGAGAGTCACACTGGAATTTCAAGATCACAGCCCAACACAAGAGAACCTGGACAGATGTGGCCACGGTGCACCCTGTGGCACACATTAGAGAGCTGGAAAAGAGAAAACCTCTGAGTTTCTTTGCAAATGTTCCTTCTCTCCTAGCCCTGCATTGTTCTCCCAAAGTGCTCTTCCTCCTGACATCCTAAATCTATAGTGAACTCCAATATGGATATAAACAGCTTTATAGCCATTGAAAACATTCTCCAGTTTGGGGACTTAGGATGTTTATAATCTTACAGTAAGGAGTCAGGGATTTCACAGTAAATCATTTAGGCATGGATTGGATTGTAAAATATTCTTGTGAAGGTTCCAGGATCATTAAATCACACACCATTGCTAATGCCCCACTCATAGAAGTAGCAGTCACACTTACCTTTGCAAACAAAGCATTTAATATGGAAATATTTGCTCTGAACTCTCAAAACTTCTCCTTTGCATGGTTTTCCACAGGTATTGCAGAGAATTGCAGTACTGGATGGCTTTTCCAACTGGCTATGTACAGCCTGTGGTTGTGAAACTGCAGGGGAAAACAAAAAGCAGAGCATTTTAAAGACCATAGGTGCATCTTCTGTAAGATCTACAAGCAATGACAATTAACACCTAGGACAAATCAGTTCAAGAAGATTAAAATTTTAACTTCTGGGACTGGCCAGCACAGGAGAAAAGACCGCCAAAAGGAGTAGAGCCAAGCCAACCCTGTTATTTCATAATTTTGAAAGCTTTTGACTGAACACACTTCAAAGATAAATTAGAATTCCTTAATAGAAGAAAGAATCCACGTGATCAAGTTTTGAGAGCCTCGACCTGAGTTTCAAAAAATGCTTTGTCATACTTTCTCTTCAAGAAATCAAAGAATATAGATAAAAGCTAAAGGTTTTTATTCAAAATATCTTTAATGGGACTTGATAACACCTACATTGTGAGCTACTGATCTTTAAAGGTCATAGTAAATGCTTTTTTTTTTTACTGATTTTAAGGCAGAAATACAGCTGTAGATGTTTTAAATACTTCTGAAACATTGACATCCCTGTAAATAGCACATATATCTGACCATTAAACAAAGTTTTCGGTCATTTTGTAAGGAAACCACAATTCCAAGAGGTTAGGTTAATCTAGGTTAGTGAAAATTAAGTGAATTAAAAACTTGCTGCCATCTTGTGATGTAAATTAGAAATTGCATTTATTGTGCTGCTGATAACACAAGATAAGTTGGCATCTCAACATGCCATGGGGAACAGGTGAGATATGACCTTATTCTTGCAGTCCTGCTGCAGCACTTGCATCAATACTTTATCACAGTGTACTCAGGAGTCAAGAGAGGAAACATCAAGGCAGTTAATTATAAAGGAGCTGTACTGTAACTCAACACATCTGGCTTTTTCCCTGTGTGAAGAACTAATAACAGGAAAGCATATAAAGCATTTCAAGTAAATTACTTACTTAATGACATTTTTTCTTCTGTAATGTGGCAAGCTTACTCAAAGGCTGGATTGCTTATTTCAAAGGGATTTTGTTTAAATTTTAGCTACAAAATAAACTCACCAACCAACCAACCACCGAAGATGGAACAACCTCTCATACACCAATATGCTTAAGGAAAAAAAGGGCGTTCCCCATCCACTGAGTTGAAGGAGTCAGTATTTCAGTAAGATGCTAAGCTTCCCTCCCACACACTCTTCCAGGGGACTTATTGCAAGTTTCACCCAAAACACACTTTCTACTCCTGCAACTGAAGTGGTTTAGGGTTTATTTTAACCCAGAAGATACATGGGCTTGAGCATGTCACGACATTATTCACCACCCATTAGCATTTTGCCTTGCCTGCTAAAATTACACGTTCTGTGATGGTCAAAAAGTTCTGCTCAAGGCATTGTGAACTTTGGAGCAATTACTGAAGGCCTGGTTATAATTAAGGACATCTCCAATAAAAACAATGTAAGCATGACAGGCAACTGGAAGCTTCCAGAAAGGCAGATGCCCAACTTGCACAGAGCAAGTAGTACAGATCGCTCGGGCTACGATGAGGGTCTGACTTATTCCTCAAATAGAAAGAGGAAACTTTGAACTTTGCAATACTTTACTTTTGACACAAAAATCTCTCTGTACTGTAACCTGCCCAAAACAAACAGCCCACCCTGAAACCAAAACAAAGTATTTTCCTGAGTTAGTTACTAGAGTAGTGGCTAAAAGTGCAACTATAAATAGAGGTTTGTTCTTTCCAGATTTGCTAACAAGCATCAAATTCATAGCACATAACTCATTAAAGACTTTACTTAAAAGGAGCTGACCATAGCCAGAACATTTGGGCCTAAACAGCTGCATTTGAAATATAAAATTCTGATTGGAACAATTAAACAACTGACTTTTCTTCACACTCAACATTCCCATGTTTCAGCCTTTCAGAACAGCATCTCTCCAGAAGCATCTGTGCCTGGCCAGGGTAGAAAGCTGCCAGCTCATGTGGTATGTCCCACAGGGCAGAGAAACGCAGCTCAGGGTTTTTTTGTTTCTGGCAATGGTTGCAATCTGAAAATGTGACAGAAAATGGAAAAAATTTGTTTTCCATGATGTATTTGGTGCTTGGTGTCCAGAGCTACCGGGCAGGACTTCACACACTTCTTTCCCTTTGGTTCTCTAAATTAAGGTTTGGAATTAAAAACTCAGTAGTTCAGCTACAAAAAAAATTAAGAAAGGAAAATATTTAGGTTTGGGGTTTTTTTAAATTCTTCTTTGAAATTTCTTTTGGGATTTTTTGTATTAATCTTGATGTTAAGACAAAGAATTATTAAAATACACACAGCAGACAAAGAATTAGTTATTTTTCTTTTCTCTCAGTTCAGAGCTGAGCTACTAAGTATTTCATACAAAACAAAAAAAAAAGTCCCCAGTGGGACTACAGTGCCTCTGAGATCTTTACAAAGAGGTCTTTCTGAAGACATTTTAAAACACTTACTCCTCCATCTAGCACAACAAAATCATATAATTAATCACATATTAGTTTGTATTTTAAGACACTGACATACATGTAATATAGTTTAGGTTGAAATTTCAACTGCTGACAATTTTGAGAAACTAATTCCATTAGGGAACTTCACATTTTAACTTACGTTTCAAACTATATTTAAGGAGATAAGTTTACACGGCAATTTTCAGCATTTCACCATTATGCCTTTATGTATCAAAATCAGTCTTCAAAGCAGCAGAAGAAACAATCAACATATTTAATAAGTGAAAAAATGAATTACTGATGGAATATAATGATCTGAGACTACTCATCAGATCATAACTAAAGAGTTCATTTAAAATTAAATTCTTCCGTTATACCCTGATTTGTAGAAATTTCCTTCTTAACTTGAAGCTACTTTTTCTAAACAAAAATACAAATGAATACCTGATTCTCTAAATTTGCCTTTCTCCCAGACTACATTCTGCTCATTAATCCTGAAACCCTAAAAGGATCCCACAGCACTCACTTTTTGACAAGGACAAAAACTGGCAAGGAATGAACGAGCAGCTTCCACAGGACTTCTTTGTGCAAGACTTGTCTGCTGGGGACATTACTGCCAGTATTCTTGCCAACTGTCCAGTGCTCACACATCTCTGATGTCAAGACTCAGTCTGTCTCCACCAGGCTACACAGTAGATAATTCTTCTTAGTTCTGGACCAAGCAAGGCACATTAGCCAGCATCAGTTTGCTGAAGAATTGCCAGATAAGATGAACTCAGACTCACTGTTATACTGCTTGTTCTAGATGTGCACTCGCTGCAGGTACCACAGGGAAGGAGGGACAGTGGCATTGCTTATTATCAAAGCTGCATTACACATCTTATGGCCACTGTGAAGTGATGTTTTCAGTGTGCTTATAACTTTTGCAGATTCACAGAATATCCTGAGTTATAGAAGAGACTGACAGGGATCATCAAGTACAACTCTTGGTCCTACAGAGAATCATCCCTAAAAATCACAATATTTGCCTGAGAGCTTTACCAAACTTCACTCATTGACATGAACATTACTCGCATTTGATGATCTCAAACTCATCTCTTCAGGGAAAATTTCAGACAAAAGTTTTAAGCTTTTTATAAAGGTGAAAAATGGTTTGTATACAATATATTGGTTTTCAACATCAAAAAGAAAACAGAGCAGCATGCTTTTGGAAGTATTTGGATCAAAGTCTGCAGCCTGACCTCAGTGAACACTGTGACAGGTACATTGCATCCATGAAAATCCACAGCTTGTGGTTAAAGCCCCATCCCTTTGACTAAGCCCAGCTCCTTTGTCATTGCTAGACTAAGCAGGATTTAACAGCTCTGGGGACTGGAATAAGGTAGCAGAGATAAGGAAAAGATTTGGGTGAACAGGAACACTTAGGAAGAAGACAAGCTAATGGCAGTGACAGAAGGGAGAGGATTCACAAGTCCCTGGCCATGCTCTGCTCAGGAGCCTGGGATAGAAAATGTCACCTCCTCTCTGCTGTGAGCAAACTGCCGAGGGAAATCAAACTCTTAGCAAAAGAGTCAAGAGTCTAGGATTGATCTATGCAGAAGATGACAAACCCCTTTGCTATCAGGCTCTCCAACAGCTAAATGAGAAATCTTCATGGCAGATTACACACCTGACGAAGAAACATGTCCAGAAACTGCAGAATTTGACACAGTTCTAATGCTTTTTCCTGTTTGTTGTGTTTTGTTTCAGCTCTGCACAGGAACCTTCAGAAGCCATTTCTGAGCTTGGAAAGTACAGAAAATTAAGAAGTGTCATACTTAAGAATGCACATTTAATCTGGAATTAAATCTCAACTATAAAGTTTAATAATAAAGACTTCCACCTTATTTGTTTACTATACAGACATAATTAAGGCCACATTGAACTCTGTTCTAAAAAATCAGTTTAATAGATTTACTGCTCTTGGTGATTAAAGAAGCCCAAAATGATAAAGAGCAAAATGACACAATTTGATATTATAATCTCAGAATCCTTGAATGATTTAGGTTGGAAGGGACTTTAAAGGTCACCTAATTCCAACCTTCCTGCATTGGCAGGAACACCTTCCTCTACACTACATTGCTCAAAGCCCCATCCAACCTGTCCTTCTGTGATGCTGACATTTTAAAGAGTACTGTGATCTAAAGAAAGATGTAACTTGAGTAGAGATATAAGAGTCATATGAAAAGAAATTTTATCCCTAATATTTGCAAACCCCTCCAATTACCTCTCAATGCAAGGACAGTGGTAATTCCTAACCAAGGCTCCTGGAAGGATCATGCAGAACCAGAGCCCAGAGGCAATAATTAAAGGAAAAACAAAGGGCCTGAGGGGTGGGGGGTACCTTCCCTGTCCTTTCTGTGGGTTGTTCTGGGGCTTTTATTATAGTGTTCTGGAGGCTGGGATAAAAAATTTCAGGCCTTTCATTTCAGGCTCATACAAATAAAGTATCACTGGTCAGCAACAGCAACCCTCCATCAGCAGAAAAGATATAACAATTTTCTTTAGCAATTATCAGCACTCCAGGCTCC